CTGCACCCTAATAGTGATGGCCTGCACCCTAATAGCGATGGCCTCCAACCTACTCTCCACCCCATGAGTTTTGCGTTCCTTACCGACCCTTGCAAATTGTCCTTTTCTATAGTTCAACAGGTTAAACATGCTGTTTGTGCACGTTAAGAGAAGACGCATCTAGAGATGTTGGTCTAAAGGCATAAGAACCGGATGCAGCTCGATACAAGCTTGACGCAAGGTTCGATGTGGGGCAGTGGACCTACGGCTTCATCTCAGTACGTTTCCCGTTGATGTGCTGGATGCATTGACTCCCTCCAAGTACACTTGAATTTCATTCTTGCCGCGCAGACTGTTTGAACTACTTTCAACGTATTTGTGTGAAACCCGAGTCATCCCAAAGACACTGGACACGCACTGTGGATTCCGGCTCAGGCGTAGGGAATTTTCCAATCCACAGCCTGTGGGTGTCCTTCGCCTTTGACAAAGAATTCAGTGAGACTCAGACTCGAATACAGGCCCAACACAAGAAACAGACACGCAGCAATGCTGGTCTTAGTCACAGAGACTTACCAAGTTTGAGACTTTCATAACAGCCTGTAACATTCTCGCGACATTGTTCTTTCACATAACTGAAGCGGTTTTCAACTTGAACATGGTGGGCTCTAGCCCTGCCCAGTGCTGAAACTCATGACGAGCTCATTGTTCACCCCAACACCATTGGACCATTTCAGCAGCACGTCCCTTCGCGTGATAGATTCAGCCTGGAGCCCAGGCGTCAACAAATTGTGTCAACAAGTTGCACACGGCAGATGCAATAGGCACTCTTTGTGTTTTTTTCTAATCCACAAATTCTACGAAGATGAGCTCAGAAAGTCCATGAAAGTCCATGCTCAGCATCAACGTTTTCTATTTTTAAGACAGCTTTACCCCTCGAGACTTCTTGGAGCCTAGAAGTCCACTGAAGCCGAAAGTCTAAGATCCTCCGAGTCTTCTCCAAATTCCGTCTCCTGTTTTTGAGTTCTACTTGTCCAAGGTTCTTTTGTGGCCATGGCAGTAACTACCTTTGATGGCCAGTTCAGCTTCAAGCAGGTAGAAGGGGTATGAGAACAAGTACATTTGCATACATTTGTGTCATGTTGTGTCACGCAAGGAATCCTTGCTGGACTGCGCATGGACTTGAACATATTTTGTACCAGGACTCCTTGGCTCGACTTGGAAAGCGAGACACACCAAAGATGAATGCGGACCAGTATCAGCATGTTCCTCAGAGATTCCAGCGGTTCTGGGTGACAAAGATCTGTAGAGTCGGTTAGAGTCTTTTGCTGCATTCTAAGCTGTAGGCCTTATTGATGAGCCACCTATGTCAGACTAGAGCTGTAAGACTTTAAGGGTTGTAACTTACGTGCAGTCCAACCCTTATGCAGCTGTTTGGTTGCTGGAAGGCCTTACTTTCTACTCATTCTATTCGTCATCGACTGCCAAAGCGGTCTCAGTCTTGACAATTTGGTTGCAGCACGGCTGAGGGCATTCCAGAATAGCCCTTTCATGCAGGGTGTGCGGAAGACAGAGGCGCAACACTACATTGCATTTGCGAGTTTTTCTAACGCATTTCTTTTTTTTGCGAAGCCTGAGCAGAGAGAGCGTCACAGCCTATTCGCTGCTTAAAGCTATTTATGAATATGTTTTGATGTTGCTCATTATATACTATTATTACTATGGTTATTGTTGATATATGAGCCACGGTCAAAACATGCGAAGACCACTTTAGTAAAGAGGGGTAGGTTTGTGCACAAAACCCTGCAAAACGATAAGGTCCACCTCAAAACCGATAACCCCAGCGCTGTATATGATCATAAGTATGCGACGAACTCAAAACACTGTAAAACGATAAGGTCCAACTCAAAACCGATGACGTCCATTTTTTTTGCTGAAGAAGAATAAGGAGTTTTGACCGTCCCTCATATATATATATATATTTAAGCTGCTTCTTACCCCTTACTCCTCTACTTCAGCATACTACGGGCTGCACGCCGCTGGTCTAAAGAGGTCCCCGATGCAAAGAGCCTATGATCTGTTGATTCTTGACACTCGAGACATCTCGAGACGATGCCCAATTGATGCCGGATCGCGACTTGCAGGACTTATGCTGGACCTTCACTTGTGATCGAGATGAAAAGCGGAAGAAGACCGATCCATCCTTTAAACCTACGGACTGAGTTGGCGCACTCCAGACCTCATATCGACGTCACTTTTTTCAATGGGATCCCACGCATTTCAGATTTTCAAGAACTTGTGCTGGGGCTTGTTTGAGCTTTCGTAGCTAACACGCATTTCTGCCTAGCATGAACCTCGACTGTGCCGTGTTGGTGAGACACGTCTCTCATCATTTTCTGACACTAGGTTTTTTGGGTGTCATCTTCCGTGTACCCAACGGCTAGCAGCCTGTCTTCTTCTACTGTAGTCGGAACAAGTCATGTGCAGGATGACGATTTTGGTGCTCCGAAAGCTCACGAGTTCGACCGCTGTATCTTGGTGACGGTTTCAGAATGCGTTTAAAGCAGCATGAATCCGACCAGAAGCGCGCAGGTAAGCGAGGGATGGGTACTGGCAGTAGATAGCACTAGTATAGTGGATCGTGGTTTGCAAAGCGCCAACAAGTTCTTGAAAGCTGAGAGCGGCTCATCACTCATCAACGCCAGTCTTTGGGTTTTAAGTTATATGAAAAAGACAGGGCATTTGGATGATTTTGAGGGTAGCCAAGCCGGGCAGCTATGGTTGTATATGGATAGGATAGGTAATTTGAACTGCTGAGGCATCAACTACTACAAGGCCGCTGACTCAAAGCGCTGTTCTGCTAATGCTTGGTTCCACCAGCTCGGATGGACATGCGATTTGTCGTGCAACATGGGCCATGTGAAAGGGTAGCCGGGAGCTGGTAACTATTAACTTTCTCGAATAGCCGGAGCCATAGGTGTGGTTGTGGCAAAACATACTAACTTGCCACTCTGATTGATGCTGCTGGCTCCAAAGCTTTGTTTCTTGTTGGAATGCACTCTGCCACGTGCAGGCGGCCACGCCAATATTTTTGAACCTGAACATGTTGACACTGATGTAGAAGAAGTGCCATCTAGAGTACCCGAGTATGAATTCAAAGCCAGTTGAGTCATACTTGGGCGAGGTGCTTGGCATTGATGAATATGCTAGTCAGGAGGAGGTCAAGAAGGCATTTGACGGGTGCGGGTGTATCAGGGATGGGCCGAGGATGGATGTCCCTCAGATCCTATTGGTATGATGTTGGATGATGTTGACATTGATATGATTTGCTGCACGTAGTTTTGGTGGCAAAAATCCGCTTCTGTGCCGATGTTGTTGTCAGAGAATCCTAGAACGAATTTGGTTTCAGACGATTCATGCATTTTGTAGCAGCCTGATACCTAGAAGCAAGGTGTTCAGGGCCAGCGCAAAACTTACTGTCAGCACACTCATCATCTCAGAAGTTTGAAGCCCATTCTCAGATGGTTTACACTCCCTGGACAATCAATTTTTGTGGTTTCCTCGAAGTTGGACGAAGCCCAAAAGCCAAGGAGAGTTCACACCTTTGCAGATTCTAGACGAGCATTTGAGCAACCGGCAACACGTCAATGACTAATTTAGTAAAGAGCGGTCGTGATTTTCGGGAATTGGGCTAAAACCTGCAAAAGCGATAGGCCCTCAAAAGCGATAAGGCGATAAGCCTGTTTCCAAAAAGTTCTCCTCTTCTGAAGTTGCTTTGCCTCTTCCTTGCTGAATCATGTCCTCAACTTGACAGTACGTTTTGGCAGAAACTTATTTGAGATTTCCCTGATTTAACAAGAAGAAAGTCAATCCCGAGAGAGCGACATGTCTTGTCAAGACTCGACTCAGGCATACAAGAAATTGTCGTTGGTGTACCACCCTGACAAGACCGCTGGTATGGGTGCAGACCAGAAGGAAGAGCCATCTCCTCAGCTTGTTTGTCCACATGGAAAGCCGCAAAGGTCATTTAGCGGATCTGTTTGAACAGGCCTGGTTACTGTGTCAGCCTGCGGAGCATATCAAGCTTGAGGTTTGCAAACAAAAACATATATAGGTGTTGCGATCTTGTACTTGGCCTCATACAAGGGCATTCAATGAACTCAGTCAAATCGACAATCGGACAAACTATTTTTTCTCAGTCTAAAGCTTGCCCCAGTAGCTTCATTGCAGCTCTAAGCCCAGGTACGCAGCGATCTTCATAGAGCTAAAGAATGCCTACCTCACCTTGAGTGACAATCCCACCAGACGCCAGCTCTAAGCTCAGCAGGGTTTGTTTTTATGACATTTTCCAGCCTTTCGATGAAATGGACAAACCAACCGATCATTTTTGAGCAATGTGTGTTGGCAGCATTGCTTCTTGAGCTTGTGCTTTGGACATTTAGTCCACAACAAGCCACAGCGCGCACATATTTAGATATTTTGAGCCGCTCTAGGGCTTGCTATTGGAACACATTTTTTGGAGATCCAGTTTTGTGAGAGTTAAATGAAGACACAGGTTGTAAAGAAACAAGCACACTTCGTTGAGCACATGAGACAGAGACACAATTATCGTCATGTAGTTTTAGCTGGGATGTTTGATGCAGCTAGTGTTTTTTGTGTTTTCCTCGAAAGACGATAGGGGACGTCCTAAAAACGATTGCCACACACACAAACAGGAGCGGAAAGTTTCAGGCTTTTCGCATATGTGCGGAGCCGGGCCAAAAGGAGAGCACGTTTCACGAACATGAGGAAGACCAAAACCCTGAACAACACGGTAGGGGACGTCCTCAATTGTCAATGCATACAAAACAAACAAATAGTTTTGGCACCACCACACAGCCTCCACTCTGCAAGTATTCGCAGTAGGATGACTCCGTTTGCTGACAGTCCCTGTCTGGTGGCCTCAATGCTCCAAGTTGATTTCATTCTTTTTCAGACTTTGGTGGGGCACACTGCATTCACCAAGTTACAATGAGTTTGCAATTGTTGCAGCTGGCAACTTGAAAGTTCGTGTGGTACCAATGCCCACTCAACTCACGGCAACGGTGACAGCCATGCATGTTTGGGGTTCGCACTTTGCTGATGGCTGACGAACTCTATGGTGCCTAGGTATGATCGCGAGCGGGACAGAGACAAAGCATCTTTCGAGGCTTTGTGGCCTTTGCGTCTGTAATATACTTATTCATTTGGGGATATATGGGGCATGATCCCAAATATGTATATTATATTTTATGTCGGTGCCAATTGCTGGAGTCAGTATCGTAGCATATTCAAAGCTGGAAGCACGGGAATGAATCGATTTGATAGAACCGTTTGTAGACAGCAACACAGGCTGCAGACAACGCAATGCTGCTCGATCCTTTCTAATTGTTGTGTTTTCAGGTGAGCGGCTTCAAACCAAAGACACGTGCACACTTCGATGCCAGCGAAGTGCTGAAGAAGCTGCAGGTGACATTGATGCGACTCCACAGACCAGTCACACCAGTCTCTGACAGACCATTACAGTATATACAATACTTACCCGCCTTTGAAGTCTTGAAACCCAACACAACATTCTAAAACCAAACACATTTGTGTTTCAAAACACTGTTGGCATGTTTTTATTGGAACATGTTTTTGTCTTTGTGAGGAGATGCAGAAGCCACCTGGGAAACACATCGACATCCCAATGGCGGTGAAGTTGGAAAAGTTAGAGCCTTCACAACCTTCTCCCAAACCCATTCAGTGAGGGAGGCAACACGTGCAGTTATCAAGTCCACCAGAATGACTTTTCTCAGGTTCTTCTATGGTGGTCACAAAGGCATTCGCCGGGAACGACGTGTGAAGGACTGAACACAGTATCACTTTGCTTCTCGTTTGCAAAGCAGGTCGATAAAGCCGATGTTTGTCGCCCGCCAAGGACTTTGGGGGCTTCAATCAAGAGACACGTATCTACAGAGCCTGAACCTTGATGTATAAAAGTTGTTGTGCTCAGTATGCCACGCCAGCACCAGTCAGGTTGACATTCCCCGAGCGGCAACTGAACCTCATGAAGTAACCTTCCGGTCAGGCGGTGACCATCATGAGGACATCAACAAAACAAGCTGCACACATTGCAGAGCTTGACATTGACATTTGATGTGGCTTTTGCTTGGAAGATAGTGTGAGGACACTCGTCCAGATACTCTTTGTTTCAAGATGTCGAGCTGTCCTCAGAATGGTTTAGGGTCTGTCAGGTTTGTTTCAAATTTCTGAATGTTTTGTTATTTTTTAAGCCACACGTCTCAACATTCAACGATTGTTGCAATCTGAACTTCAACTAAGTAGGCTGGTTCTGAAGCAGCGGTGGACCTACCTGTGCGGGCTCAAGTTCAGGCATATGTGAAGCCCAATCTATTCTGGGCTGATTTGTTCAGGTAAGTCGGTCATGCGCCGTACGTTCGTGCTCTTCCTTGTGAATGCCGCGTTTGTCCAAGCAGAACATGCGGAGGCGAAATCTTCCCAGTGGCTGAGGAGAGAGAATGCCTTTGCTGAATCCAGCCGTGCAGAGACAAATGCAATGGTTTCATCTTCTGCAGCCACTGAATTGAGGTCACAGCTTGCAAAGATGCAAGTTACACATTTCAAAAGCTTGTCAGAGCTGCAAGCAGCCGCTGGTGAGAAGTTGAGAACCTTGCAGATCCCGGTGGTAGATGCCACCAATGAGATTGAAAATGTGGAGACAGTATGGACCCAACAAGGTGAAGAAGGTCCTGCAGGGGATGTTGGTTTAGTGGGTCTCCGAGGCCCACCAGGACCGGCTGGACCGCCTGGTGATGACACCGTAGCTGAAAGCATTGAAGACCTCGAATTGGAAGATGCCGTCGGACCTCCTGGTCCACCTGGGAAGCCAGGCCCTGAGGGTGATATGGGCAAGCCGGGCCCGCAGGGTGATGTTGGGCCGCCAGGGCCACCAGGCAAAACAGGGGAATTCTCGGAGGAGCAACGCTTGGAGTTTGCGAAGGTGGTAAGACAGCTCAACAAAGCTGTGAAACATGCTGCCGAAATGGATGCTCGGAGAGATTGCTTTTTTTCCTCAAGCCTTTGGGTGAAACAGACATATAATGCTTCCTTGGTGATTTGACCTTGTTTTTCACGAATAATACACCACTCAGGACATGATAGAAAACACTGTCTTGCTCAGAAGGCTTCAGAGGCTCAAGAACCACTTTGCCCACATCCAGGCAAACTTGACCATGTCAGAGCGGATTCTGATGGAGCAAAGCAAGCAGGTGGAATGGAAGGTCAAGAATTTCTTGAAGACTGATGTGAAGGTAAACAAGACAGTTGCAGCAGCGAAGAAAGTGAAGGACACAGAGCAAGAGATTCTGGAAGAAGAGGAGAAAGTCAAAGATGAGATTCTGGAAGCCACTGAAACAGAAGCAACTCAAGCGGAGAAGAGTGCAACCAAAGTGGTTTCTTGAAGACGACATTGCAGCGATGACAGTCGCAAAAATGGCTCGAAGCACCTATATGTCCAAGAATATAGTTTTCAAGTGTTTTGTTTTCGATTTATTGCCACCAGTACTTCAGACAGAGACAGAGAGAGGGAGAGGGAGAGCAAGATCTGCAGGTCTAAACCGCACGCTGTGGTCGAGCGACGTGGTGAGGAGACACTGATTATATAATGAGAAAGGGCTAAGGCCATGGCTTTCAAAGTGAATAAATGTTCTTGCAACGCCGCACAAGGTGTCAGTCAGACTTGCTTGGCTGGGTGTGTAGAATCCAGTTTGCCATTTTGTCGAGCACCGCGTTGCATTTTCCCCACGAAGCGGCCTACTATTCTGAGCTTGCCTTCTGACTTTAATTGGCAACGGGGACCGGAGTGCTCAACATACCTCTTTCCACATTGGGCAGACGGGTGCAGCTCAACTTACTGTAAGAACTTGCTTGGTTTGAGATTGCAGAGATCCTTGGAACGACAGTAAGAACAGTAGGCCGGCTGAGCTGGCTAAGCGTGACTGCGATGTAGTGGTTGAAGAATTGCAAGGGTTTCCGAAGGGTTTACCTTAGTTTCCAAGACTTGCCAGGATCTTGTCCTGCGATCACGGGTTGGTCTTGGGACACGCGCACGATCCCCAGAAGTTCTCGCAAGAGCTGCTGGACGATCCGAACCCAACTATATAGGCCAGGCAAGAGTCTCTACATACCGAACATTACCGAACCTTTTAACACATAGTTAGGGAAACTTGATAAGACTCTTTCGGAAGTAATTACATTGGGTAACGGGTAATTCATACAGTTGTGGTGTTGTGGCATAATGCCCATGGTTATCCACTCATAAACTACAGTATTCGGTTTCTTATTTGTATGTTTTTGTACACTCCTTAAAAAGTAAGTGGCGCAACCCCAATTTGGCAGAGAGCGCCATCTACCCACCCGAAAATGAAACCCAGGCCACAACAAAAAACTGCTTTTGTGGCGGCAGGACTTGTCAGTGCCAAAAATGATGCGCCATCTACTTGGCTCAAACTTGTAAACATGTCCTTTGCTTTCTGCTATGGTAAAAGGGAAAAGGAAAAGGGAAAAGGGCAAGGAAAATGGAAAAGTGAAAAGGAAAAGAAAAAGACAAGGGAAAGGGTCGTGGGTGTTCATGTTCTTGTGGCCCAACCTTGCCACTGAAAGTGCCGGGAACAAGGGCCAGCAGATGACGCAACCGTGGCCAAAGTGCAAGAGAAAGAATCTGTCGAAAGAGTTGGGCCATCTACTCCTCAGTTTTATGTCGCCAAATTGATGAGTGAACGAATACTTGAATGGTAATATTAGCAGTGTTTCCCAATGTTAAGAAAAGATCGGAATGGTGCAATTTCTTCGATTGCTTTTACTTTTTTACTTTAGTCTATCAGGGCTGATATGCCTTGCTGCCCCATGTGGTGAGTAGATGGCGCCGGTTTTCAGGAAGGCTCAGTGGATGGCTCAACTCAATATTCCAGGGCCACTTACTTTCCAAAGAGAGTATTCCAATTTACACAATCACACATGAACTTTTCCATCTATTTCGCCCAAACATACAGAATGGACTCCAATACTTCTGTATTGTACGAAAAGGTCTTTGTTTGGCATGAATATGCAACGGTATCACGTCCTGCTCAGTTCATGTCTCCGGCAGTGCAGCGATCCTAGCTAGTTGAGCCAGGTAGGTCAGATCGGGATTGGAGGTTTCATACACTGCAGGCAGTATACAACATGCAATGGTGAATTGTAGACAAGGAACACTTTGCAATGCCAAGAGAGATCTTGCACAGATTGAGATGTTGTGTCGAGGCACAGGACGATCCTTACCTTTGGGCAGAGGCAAAGAAAGCTTTTTCACTTGAGCAGAGTGGCTTGGATGACCACAAAGCTTCAAGATGAATTCTTTTTACTTGTCTGTCAGAGGGTAGAGCTGTGACCTGCAGCCCTCTGCTTTTGGCAGACGCCTACTGTTGGCGGGAGACATCTTCTGCTTTGGGGTGGAAATCCGTGGTGAACTTGATTGAACAAGTTTCATTTGTGCTCTCAGTGGCATTCTTGTTACTTTGTACTTTGTACGACATTTTGTCTTGAGTCAAAATGCAGTTATCCAGAAAAGAGCTTCAGAAAAGAGCTTTGCCTAGGTTCTATCACACCTCTGCTGCATCCGGGGAGATGAAAGTTCAGGTGGGAATCTGATCTAGATGACGCCAATGATGTCTTAAAAATGTCTCTCGAATGTTCTTGAAACCTCCTTGGCATGGTGACCTTTATTTTTTTGCTTGCTTGCATTTGCTTTCCGCGATGTCTCGCACTCTGTAAAGCGACACAATCGCTCAGGGAGTCCAATTTGAAGCATCACATTTTCCTTTTTTGTTTGCCTTTTTGCTTTCTCTGGTTTGCTTCTTTTGGTCGATGCGTACTGCTTGGCCTTGGAGCAAATCCTGCTCCAAACTGCTGTGAAAGAACAACATTTTTATCAATAGCTGTCCCATCCAAAGTGTACATCTTCAAAGAGTAGATTTTAACCAGCACTCAGCACCAGCAACTCTTTTGACTAGAACTTTGTGAGAGTATTTTCCTGTCCTGTCCTCTTACGCAAGTAGCCAGAAAACCATCAACTCGGCAGAATGGACTGTCAGCCAAGCTCGTTCCATCGCATCGGATGCTCTGGAGAATGATCATGGATCACACAAATCAAGCTCAGTGTCAAGCGCATGATGAACGCATGAAAATGCTCGATATGGTGCCTTACCACGCCAGAAGCCAAGCCTGCCAATTATATGGATCCGGGAAGGGTCAAAACCTGGAGCCCTGGTCCACCATGTAGCTTGACCTTCCAGGTAGGTCAACTAGTGTTCTTGTTCATTGCATTTTTCTCGTAGAGTGGATATGTACCAGAATTCAAGGCACCCAGCTGAGCTGAAGGGCCATCGGATGCGCGCAGACAGTCGCAAGTTTCGTCGGTAGGTCAACCAAGGTCTCCTTGTTTTGACCCACAGCCATATGAGCAACGTGCCAAAACATGCCAGGACCTACAGTATATATATATAGAAAAGAGTGGTGCATTGATGGATTTGGTGATTTTGCAAAAGCAATAGGCCCCCCTCAAAAGCGATAAACCTTGCCTCAAAGAAGCGCAGACACAAGAACACTGAACATCCTGACATTGTCTCCTCGTTGGAAGTCAAGTCTATTCTTGGGCGACTTTAGTGCATGCCAAGGCCCAAACCACGTGTTCGTGTATTTTCATGCTGTTGTTGTTGTTCTTCCTGTTCTGTTTCTTTTTCTTTTCTTCTTCTTGCCCCTCCCCAGGTGGAGTCCACTTCTAGTCGTGGTTCGTGCTGCACTCCCTTGTCTCTGCATATATCTTGACAGGGGGTTGAGGACACCTTTCTTTCTAAACTTTCATTCATTCATATATTTTTTCTTATTTCATGCCCCCTCAGCTTTGGCGGCTCAAGCGCTGTGAGTTTGGTTCCTAAATGCTCTAACACAGTCTAAGGCAGCCCCTTGAAGTCACCCTTCGCATTCTGGATTTGCTGCTTTGCGTGAGTGGTTCAATGTTGACAAAAGCAACGGCTGTCGCTGCTGGCACAGTCCGCGTCCGCGTTCTTGTTTGTCGTATCGTCGTATTTCCATTTGAGTGCCCAGCTGGGCATTTGGTTGGTTCTATTTAATTCTTCTCCTTCCCAACTGCCAAACACTAATTCGGACCATCCTTGTGGATCTTATATACTATATATTTGTCTTGATGTGACACTAACTGCATACAGTACACAGAAACATGAACCGCACACCAGTGCATGAAAAACAGGAATTGCACTAATTGCACCTAACCGCTGGACCAGAATCTTGCACGATTCTTTCTTTGTTGGGTGCCTTTGCACCTCCAGGTGAAAGGCGAAGGTTTGACACCTTCCGCGTCTTTGCACATGGTGCCAGGATCTGAGTGTGTAAACGGGGTAATTTTGCGAAACATGTTTGGTGACATGCTAGCCATATGAGTTCTTAACATTGATGTTCGATAGGTGCCGACTGGGGCTTGCTGCCACCACTTCCAGTCCAGTGGCTGCTCCTTTCAGGTGGGTACCCAGCGATTTGAGTTGCAGGGGCTTAGGACAGTTTTTTCTCCGTGAGTAATGAATGATAGTCCTCCAAATGGGAATTAACACAAAAGCACAATATCAGCCGTAGAATCTACCTCTTGAATTCATTGAAAGGCATACCTGGAGTTTTGGACTTGCAAGTAGTTGGGTCCAATAATGTTCAGTTTCCAAAAGTCTAGGAACCAAATTAATCACGCGAAGCCTGAGCAGAGAGTGCGTCCCAGGCTAGTCGGCTAATCGATACTACCACCACCACCACCACCACCACCACCACCACCACCACCACCACTACCACTACCACTACTGCTGCTGCTGCTACTGCTGTACTAGTACTAGTACTAGTACTACTACTACTACTAGTACTACTACTACTACTACTAGTACTACTACTACTACTACTACTAGCACTACTACTACTACTACTACTACTACTACTACTACTACGACCACCACCACTACTACCACTACTACCACTACTACCACTACTACCACTACTACCACTACTACCACTACTACCACTACTACTACTACTCCTACTGCTGCTACTGCTACTGCTACTGCTACGACTACCACTACCACTACCACTACTGCTACTACTACTACTACTACCACCACCACCACCACCACCACTGCCACTGCCGCTACCACTAACACTACGACTACTACTACTACCACCACTACTACCGCTTATTGAGCTAGCAGCTTACTTGTTAGTTCTCCTCCCAGCGGCCTATCGCTTCACAAGAGAAAGGTAGAAACACTGCAAACAACTAAAAAAGCATGACTCGAGAAAGCTGCAAGGCCTGCAGCCCGAGGGAGTGCAGATCAGGTGCAGATCCGAATCCGATTTCTGTTTCTGCAGATTAGGGGCACCGAACCACACAAGAGCATGAGTGTTCGATGTTAGAGGTTTGCACTGAAAACATTTAAGATTTGTCTGCTTTGGGGCAATTAGAAACAACTCTTTAAAGGCTTTAGAACTGGTTTGCTTTACAATAGAAGTGAGCGCACATCCCCAGATTCAGATTCACTTGTGAAATTATGGCGCAGTCCATCCAAACCACGAAAGCTAGCATTACCTAGCTGAGTATTTTCTTGTTGCAACCGATCGCCCGAGCTTTTGTTTACCCCTGCTGGCCTCAAGTCCTTGAGAAGCGGAAGGCAAACTGTCGTTTCCTCGAACAATCGGATTCTTCCGTGGACAGGTTTTGCTGACCATAAAACATATGCAGACCGACGGCAAGATCTTCATTCGCATCCACAAGACTGCCACCATAGGTGCCGTGACCAACAAACTTTACTGTAATGTCCAGAGGTTTCTTGATTTCTCTCATGTACAAAAACATTTTTGATTAAAAACGCTCAAACAAGGCAGACTGTTTGTTTGATCGTTTCATCCAATCAGGAGAGGTTCGCTCCAAGATCATCGAGGTTCTAGACTTGCCCCGAAACGCGCAGGGGCACCCAAGAGATTCCAGTTTTCTCGTCCAGTATGGTTGAATATTATTGCGTATGTGTTTTGATGGTAAGCCAAGAGGAGGTTGGGGGTAGGAAGCTATGTAGCTAGTAAAGCAAGACAAAGAAGCTACTACATGAACCTACTACATGAGACGCAGAAGAATCTTCGCATCATTGAACTGTTTGTTGAAGGGACGCTAGGGAAGTTTTTATGTTCGTAACGCTTCGTACAACTTTGGCACCTTTGCCCTTCGCGTCTCTAACCGAGACTCTAACCCTTGTGGCCCACCACCCTTAGATTCTTTGGTCAGAGGGACTAGACTTTGGTGCAACAAAAGTCAATTGCTTCTCCACTATTGGCTTTTTCTTCTGCTAACTGACCCTTCCTCAGCTTGCAGTCCGCGACTGGTTGCATGAGCAAGCCAGCCACATTCTTTGCAAAGTCAGTTGAATTGGTTATGTCGCCTTATATAAATAAATACATAGACTATATTAGGGCGCGCGTGCTTTTCGGGGCCCCGTGAGAATGAATAGAGAACAATAAACAGACAGCGCACCCATATATATATATATATATTTATTTTTTGATGCACAGATATACACTTATACAGCATGCACACAAAACTATACTATTATTCTCATATGATTGGAGTTTGAAATAGACTTGAACAACTAGAGTCTTTTGATATAAAGAACCTCCTTCCCAGATTCCACACATCTCTATCATATACAATCATATAAATATAATCTACCTACCCCTAAATATTTGCCTTTCTGGTGTATTGTAGGTAGTGTTTATGAAGCCCAAACCATTGTAGCACAAATAAATCCAATATCACAATGTTCTTGAATCATTCTTAATAATGCTATTTTTGGAAAAATGAACAGATAATGGTTCAATTTGCGAGCTCCTGTAAAGAGTTCCTTTGACATGGATGTGTTTAGATCCATGTTCTTTGTAAAGACACCATGACAGTTTTATTCCTAGAGTTCTGTCAGTCTTTTCTTTTTTCTTTATTCCTATGTCCAGCTCTATTTGATAGCTTCTTTCTATTTTCCGTTTAAACATGATTAATTCCTTTCATTTTCCTTTGCACAGCAATGAACAGAAGTGATATCCATGTAATTTTCTCTTGACAGCATGATTCACACCTTTCATTTTTCTGTTAAACATTATTAATTCCTTTCATTTCCCGTTTAAATACGGTTCAAGTCCTTTAATGGAAAACCCGTCTTACAATTAGTAATTCCTTTCACTATATTGTACTTGATCAACAATGTTTTATGCTCAATGATGATTTCTTTGCAGCAGACGCTGCAAAGCAGATGTTAGATGATTGATTTGTTGGCAGATGCATTTACATGGGGCCCCGAAATGTCCACGAGCCCATATATATATATATATATGTGTATATGGGCGCTGCGCGTTTTCCGGCCCCCAAGCACAGTAGTATGTCAAGAACTTATGTTTAGATAGGTTGTGAGTATATATTCTGTATTATAGTATTATCGGACATTAACATACATAATATGCATTTCCAGGTATCTAACTACTTCATTGTTTTGCAGTGCAAACTTACTATTATATATTTGCACCTTAATAGTATTGGTATTTCCCTTGCAACGGGACGGTTTCCTCAAAAGGAAGTTTATACAGCCTTCCCTTGAATGAAGGGGACATATGTTTATGTAATATGTAGCATGATCTTAGCTCTTGTTTTCATTACTGTATATAAATATTAAACGCAACGATGAAGTCCCCCCTGCTTGCAAAGGCGCATTTGTCATTCATTTGCAGCTGTCCTTTGGAGAAAAGTTCAACAAGCAATACCCCTAGAAATTATGGAGGAAACCTCCAGAAAATGCAGCATTCCTTTTGATCTGGCTGTTTGCCAGCTATGACAGCTCCCAAATCTGTCTACCTATCCATCTATCTGTCTATATCTATCTGTCTATAACTATCTATCGTTCTATCTGTTTGTCTATCCATCTATCTATCTATCTTTATTTCTTTCTGTCTTTCTTTCTTTCTTTCTCTTTGGCAGTTGTTCTCCTTTCTCTTTTTGCTTTTGCTTTTCCATTGTTTGCTTTGCAGAGAAGAAACCAAACAAGCAAGCAAGCAAGCCAGCCAGCCAGCCAGCCAGCCAGCGAGCGAGCGAGCGAGCCAGCGAGCAAGCAAGCAAGCAAGCACGCACGAGCTGCTCACCTTTGGATGTGGTGTGCTCCCCCCCAACCCCCCGGCGCCACGAAATCTGCACTTCATCTCCGACACCTGCGCCTGCCACGAAATCAATATTTTAAGGTGAGCTCCCCGGTGCAAAAATTTCTACCCAAGCAAATGTGCCTCCTGTGCTATTTCCCTTTCTCTTTGCTGTTTCTCTGCTAACTGCACCAAACTGGTGTGATAGGTAGGAATTTCTCTGACACCTACACTATTCCAATGTACAGTATTTTGCCAGCTACGACAGCCCCGCCCCCAAATCTGTCTACCTATCTATCTATCTATCTATCTCTCTCTCTCTCT